TTTAGAAAGATAACTATTGTTATGATTTTTGCTGCTCTTATTGGACTTATTTCTACTACTGACAAGATTTTTATTATTTCTAGTCATGTTGATACGATTATTATTTTTAATTTTATTATTTATATTACTGTTATGATGACTGTTATTACTATTACTGTAAGAAAAAAAAATGCGCCATAAACATTCCATCGGGTTTTATACAGAAAAATTGAGAAAAGTTTGTTTTAATGATTTTGATAATTTTTGGTGATATTTACTTAATGTACCAATTAATATATAGTTTTGAGTGGAAGGTCAGTGCAGATTTTTCTTTTCTATAGCTTAAATAGTTAGTACTTAAAGGCCCTTTCAATTGCTTTATGAAATGTACCTTATTGCACTCTCCAGATTTTTGGCCCCTGCCGCTCTTTTGGGCTCAGATTATGGTCTGTCCCTCTGTCCTGAACTTATTCCTGAAATTTTGGTTTAGGAGTAGAAGCTTGTATGAAGCCCGCATCTCCAGAACGAAATAGTTCTTTTGGTCAAGTGTGGTCAGCTTTGGTTGTCATGTCGGCATGATTATTAAGGAGCAGAATGGTGCCTTGGCTGTGCTTGTAGTATGATTGCTCAATAGATTAACTGCTTATGTATAAAACATTGTTTTTACATTTGTTTTCCAGTATTAGGAATAAAATGCATGAACATCATGAGTATTATTGTAGTTGAAGGAAATACAAAAAGACTACAATGTTTTTAATTGAAAATGATATGGAAGGTTTGTGTACTTACGTTTATGTAAATGTATACTTGTACACGCCGAAAAGGTATGACATTGTGTTGCTCATTTGTTCAGAATGAGAGAGAGGAAATAAAGGAAGGGAAAAGGGAAGGCAAAGGAGGGGATAAAAGTATGAATGAGTGACTTTTTATATATTTTGAGTGTGTTAAATAGTAACTGTAGCAAGTAAGTGCAATAAATGTATTTCAGGGCTTTTTTAACTAATGGAGCTTTATATTAACAGACATCAGTGAATGAGGAGTCGAGCATGGATGAAGACAGTTTCTTTGAGCTCCTCTCCAGGTTCCAGAGCAAGCGCATGGACGACCAGAGGTGCACGCTCTCCATCGACAGCAACAAGGAGAATCAGCCGGAGCAAGTGCAGCAGCCGGTTGCGCCCCGGAGGGAGGGTGGGTCGGTGTCATCCACGGGCTCCACCAACGGCACAACAACTCCCTCCGATAGTGGTGCAAGTGAGTCCTTCCTCTGTATTTTACTTTGTGGGAGAGATTAGGTGTTGGCTTACCTTTGCTTTCTTCACTGCTTTGTCTGTTTTCTGCATTTGACACTGCCACTTGCTGGATCTCTGTTTGACTCTTTCACTTATTTGGATCTGTGTTTGACACTGTCAGTTATTGGATCTGTGTTTGACACTGTCAGTTATTGGATCTGTGTTTGACATTGTCTGTTATTGGATCTGTATTTGACACTGTCAGTTAATGGATCTGTTTGACACCATAGTAAGTAAAGCTTCACCCAAGCACTGGGACTCTCTCACCTTTCCATAGCCTATCATAATCTTAGAATTCTGATATATGTCAGGGTTCGTTTGTAGGGTATGATCACATCGGTCAGGTTAACAGTGAAACACCAGAGGAAACATGCCGGAGGAATATATTGAAGCACTTTTTACACAATATACATTACACAGAGGAGGCAGGAGAATAACAGGCACGGGAGAAGTGGAGCAGGCGAGGTCACATTGCGTAAGAGGTCGTCACTAACACATCACAAAAGCACTGAAGAGTCTTTCCAGGAGAACTGACGAATTGCCGAAAATCGCGCATTTTATGCAAAATCGTCGGTGTTTAGGTGCGACACCCTTGTTCCTCACAATTCAAAGTGACCAATCACGGTTGACCTCAGCCCACCTAAGCCCGCCTCTCCGGCTCAGGTCCTGAGCGACGAAACTTACAACCGCAGTGTAGCGGCTCAGGAAACCGACAGCGACTGATCAAGGCGATCTCGCAGTTGTGACAATATATATAAAAAAGCACATAATAATTATAAAAATTATAGACATTTCTCTATAAAGTAGTATATATATATAAAGTCAGGCACATATTGTATAAACACACAAAGTATTATAGAGGTTGTGAAGCAGGGCAGAAAATGCAGTAGAGTGAGAGAAGAGGGTGGTGCAGGGTGGCTGTTGTAGTTGGAGGAGGTAGGAGTCACACAACACGTCTGGCTACACATGGACAGGGTCCACTTGACTGAGGGTGTATTTGTGTCAAGCTCTAATTCTTAATAATAAATGAAGAGATGAGACTAAATCGATGTGACAGATGTTCTGGCATCTATTTGGTTTTTGGAGAGGAGAAAGAAAGTAGAATTAGACTTCTGTCCATTTAGCTAGTGATTTTATGGGGTTATGTTGTTTCCATACTACATGAATATTATTTAGGAATTTCTCTCATGGAAATGGTTTAAGGAGTAGAGTGTTGAAGCAGCTTGTAATAGATGCAGAGAATGTGACTGTTGATGTTTTTGTCTTGCTGCAGTAAAGGATAATTTCAGAAGAGAACTTTCTTGTTTTGAGGTCTTGATATTTTTTACGTTTTCCTATATCTTGTGAGAAAGAGGATTGCTTATGACCGGGGGATTAGGAATTTTGCTGGCATTGGTGCAGGTAATCTTAAGGAAATGTATTATCTGTGAGGGTAGCCTGATGAAATTTATAAGTACAATTAGGTTTATTTTACTTGTTGAACCATTGAAAAATACCAGACCAGTTTTTCAGGTCAATAAAGGTACTTCTAATATTAAGCTGTTGTCACAGAAAATTTTTTTTACCCCAGCCTTTGACTTTCATGTCTTGACTTGTGGGTGTCACACGCTGTATTAATAAGTCTTCAGCATGCGGTGTCCAGTTCTTTGGCATGTGAGCAGTATTTTCTAATAGTTTATATCCTTCTGAAGAAATTATTTAGATAAATAGAGTAATGGGTTTTGGTATCCGTTTTTCTCCCCAAATTCATTTTCTTCTCTATGATTGGGGTAACTTCCTGTTAAGTTGGAGTGAAGTTTCTTGCTAAGTTATTTCCAATTCAGTTTATCGCTGTATCCATATAAGTTTATCTTCTTAGATGTTAAAGTCTCTTCTTCACCATTTCATTCTAACTGTTTTAAGCTGATCTCTAGAAGTACTTGGTAACTTATGATTTAGAATCTAGAAGTTTTTGCAAGTTTTAAAAGTAATGATGTTCTTACTTACATCACTTCACCTGCAAGGAGTGGAGCTTCCGCCTCCGAATCGTGGTAAGCAAATGGAGAGAAAAAAATGTAAAGTAGAGATCTATGCTGTTCCTGTTTCATGTAGTTCTTGTAGTAGTATAAAAGATGAATAAGTAGCTTTCAAACATGTGTCTTAATTACGGCCTCTTGAAACTTTCTCTGCTCTGGTCCTAATACTTGAGTTTGAGTTTGCTTGTAGCCTGCCTTTCACGGAGGAGAGTTGGTGTGTGTTGGTTCCTCATGCTCATCGATCTTCTAGATAACTGTGGTGTGCTGGAAGAGCTGATGGAGAGTATTGCGGGAATGCAGAGCCGGCGGATGGATGAGCAGAGAGCTTCGTTACCGCAGCTCCCTGGCTTGAACAACCAGCATGCCATTCTGCAGCGCCTGTCTGTTGCGGCCAGTGATTCCACCCCATTGCCTGATGACAACTTCTTCGACATGCTGATGAGATGTCAGGTGAGGGAGGGAGACTTTGAGCATTGGAGTTGATGTTTTGTTTTTGGGTTATACAAACACTAATGTTCTTCAGGTATTTTATTATTGAGAGCAATAAGGGAAGAACATGACTCAAAAATTTCAGTGTGATAGGAGTGAGAGAGTGGGAGAAAGAGGGAGAGTGCACGGTGTATCCTGAATCTTTTGTGGAAATATGATCCTATGTTTTAGTGTTACTGAGATTTACAAATCTGCTAAACAAGAAGTTCAAAAAGAATTTACTGGGAAGTGTAGATGCCTATTTGTGTTGCTTTATTGATTTCTGTTTATTTATTTATTCATGTATTATCTTCAATCAACTTCATTCCCCAGTGAACCTGTTTTACATTTCATGCTTAAAACTCCAGCGAAAGTGAAAGGGATCAGAACGCAAGACTGCACTGGTAAGAGAGGTAAAGGAAGAGCCAGAACTGTATCCCACTCCTGCTGCAGTAGTCAACCAAAGAGGCCCAAGAACCTCGTTTGATGCCCTCCCTTTATGAGTATTGGCAGTGTCTCTAACCTTGACCAACAGCTGCTCTGCAAAGCGTATTATCTCACGTCTCAAGAGGTCTTCTCATTCACTGATCCCTCCCTTCCCTTTCAGCAGAAAACCCTTCAGTATGACCCCAGTACCTCGTGTGCAAAAAGGCTGTGACTTAAACCCTCCTCTAGAATAAGGATGGCTTTTCTCATGCATCTTTTCTCATGTGTAGAGCTTTTGGATTTTTAGTTTGGGAAAGATGAAATGTCATTTACTTCTATCATGCAGAGGGTAGATGTAATTGTGCAATGCCCTTTAAGAATGGTGAGCACTGATTAAGGGACGGCAAGAATGTGTTTGTTTGCTATTTAGTGACACTATTTGGGATGGGATGAGCATTGAAAAGTTAATGGTTGGTTGATACATACATATTATATAACCAGTCTGAGTTGAGAGAGAAGTGTTTTCAATCAACGTTAGTTGCACTGACGGATGGCATGAGTGAAGACAGATTTATACTAGAGGAGAGTTGGTTGTACATCTAGCCCATATGATATCAGTAAGGAAATTACTTTCCACATTTTTAAAGATTTTACAGCTTGTGATTTGTTTGAAAAAGGCCGCATGATAAGAGCATCATTGGCAATGAAGTTTCAGGAGACATTCCTCAATTTTGTGAGGCAAATAGGTGTTATTTTTCTGTTACTTGTTTGTTCATCTTAGAGAGAATGGATCCGGTCTGCGCTTGCAGTTTGTTGTTTATTTTCCACAGCATTTGCACAGGAAGTATGTATACAGGGCACTGGTATTCCATTTCTTGGGTTTCCTCACTTGCCTTGAACCCTGAGATTTGTTGGAGAAAAATTATTTTAGTGAGAGAAGAGTGTGTATTGTGTTATCAACCATAATTTCCCATGAATTTGCTAACCCTTTTTTGAAATGTAAAATACCAACTGCAACTTATAGTTAATTCTTTATTATTAAGGCAGCGACATTGCTGAGGACTGGAAATTTTAGAGGCACTGAATGTTAGGCCTGATACCTGATTACTTATTTGTGGTCCAGTATGTTGAATAAGGCTTCATGTTGCTCTGCAATAATTGGATATTGTAATTACTTTTATCATTTTTTATTTTTGTGATCAAAGGAGAGTGATATATTATACATTTATTTGTCAGTGTGTGTATTGATCTCCAGGAAAATGAAAAGAAATTATACAGACTTTTCAGTCCTAGAGTTGTTAACTCAGAATCCCATCCACGAAGGCCCTGTTTGAGATGATGACAAACAGCCACAGAGCCAACAGCCACAGTCAAAAGACAGACTTCAGTGCCAATAAAAGCTCTCATCCCACGGAATTAGAGCATGGTCTCCTCTCTCCCCCAGGGTTCGCGCATCGAGGACCAGCGCAGCTCCCTTCCGAACGAGGGTCATCTCACCCACTCAGCCCCCACTGTGCCTGATGATGACTTCTTCTCCCTCATCATGCGATTCCAGTCAGGTCGGTTGGAGGATCAGCGGTCCACAATGCCCCTGGAGGCCACGCGCAACAGCACACACCCCACGGCAGACGAGGAGGAGGCCCCAGCCAATGGCCAGAGCACAGGGGCCAAGGATGGCTTAGTCAGTAGACTGGTCAAAGGCAGAAAGTGAGAGGAGCTTCTAGATAATGGGAATACAGTATTTTTTAGGTATTTTTGACAACCTGTATGAATTCAGAAGGAGTATTTGAGCACATGATTTCTCTCTGTGGTGTGCTTGGGTCAGTCATATTTACCTGACGTATTTATGTGTAATGTTAAATACTTATGAAGAGTTGAATTCTATTATATCAAGGATAAATGTAGAATAAATGAATCTGGTAAAGTATGATTATCATCATGTTTACATGGAAAGATTGATGATTATTAAATGTAAGATAAGAGTGTTATCTAACCTAGATGAAGATTAAAGTTTTCCAAAACCCAAACTGTTATTATTAAAGATGATACACTCACACTCACACATTCTCTCTTTCTCTCACATTTTCTCTCACACATTCTCTCTCTCTCTCTCACATTCTCACTCACTCACTCTCTCTCTTTCTCTCTCTCTTTCTCTCTCTCTCTCTCTCTCTCTCTCTCTCTCTCTCTCTCTCTCTCTCCTCTCTCTCTCTCTCTCTCTCTCTCTCTCTCTTCTCCTCTCTCTCTCTCCTCTCTCTCTCCTCTCTCCCCCTCTCTCTCTCCCTCTCTCTCTCTCTCTCTCTCTCCTCTCTCTCTCTCCCCCTCTCTCTCTCTCCCCCTCTCTCTCTCTCTCTCTCTCTCTCTCTCTCTCTCTCTCTCTCTCTCTCTCTCTCTCTCTCTCTCTCTCTCTCTCTCTCTCTCTCTCTCCTTCTCTCTCTCTCTCTCTCTCTCTCTCTCTCTCTCCTCTCCCTCCCTCCCTCCCTCCCTCCCTCCCTCCCTCCCCCCTCTCCCTCTCCCTCCCTCCCTCCCTCTCCCTCTCCTCTCCCTCTCCCCTCTCCCTCTCCCCCCTCCCTCTCCCCTCTCCCTCCCTCTCTCCCTCTCTCCCTCCCTCCCTCCCTCTCTCCCACTCTCCCCTCCCTCTCTCCCCCCCCCCTCCCTCTCTCTCTCTCTCTCTCTCTCTCTCTCTCTCTCTCTCTCTCTCTCTCTCTCTCTCTCTCCTCTCTCTCTCTCTCTCTCCTCTCTCTCTCTCTCTCTCTCTCTCAAGTACACTCACAAAACACATTCACATTAGCAAAATGGTCCAAATGAAATGCCAACAAGAATGCCTATCTTTACATCTGTCCATTTTATTTAGACAGAGTTTTAATGCATATTGAATTTTGATGCTATTTGGTGCAGAAGTATAACGCCAAGGAGGAGAAGAAGGCCCGAAGGCTCACAATGCAGTCGTATCCCTTGAAAGACCTGTGACAATCCCATAGAGTGTAAGATTTTAAAAGCGTCTTTTCTGGCGTCACGTTCCAAACATGCTACTTTGAATGAGTTGATTTTAACCCTTGCTGTATGTAGATTTTCATTATTATTATTATTGTAGTTATATTTTTTTTCTTTTACAAAGGAACAAAGTGGATGCTATTATTAGAAAGGAAAATTGGCCTCTGTTATATATTTTTGTAATGATTTATGCTAATTGTGTATATAATCCAGGTTTTGTATTTCATCCTGGTGTTCATGAGTTCAGTCACCAAAAAACTGAGAATTTATATTAGCCACTGATTACTGTTTGGCAAAAAGAATAGTATTTTCTCTCTCTCTCTCTCTCTCTCTCTCTCTCTCTCTCTCTCTCTCTCTCTCTCTCTCTCTCTCTCTCTCTCTCTCTCTCTCTCTCTCTCTCTCTCTCTCTCTCTCTCTCTCTCTCTCTCTCTCTCTCTCTCTCTCTCTCTCTCTCTCTCTCTCTCTCTCTCTTCCTCTCCCTCTCTCTCCCTCTCTCCCTCTCTCTCCCCCCCTTCCCTGTTCCCTTTCTTAATAATGTATATGGATTTATTGGCATCTGTGTTTGTATGTAAGTGTATATATATTTTGATTATTTTTTCAAAGCTGCCTTCTTCCGACTCAGCCCAAAATATTTCCCGCTCACCACCCAAGCTTTAAACCTTAGACAAGGAGGGTTTTTAGTCTCTTCAGAGCCAAGTGTTTCAGCCGTGTGCAGCAGAAGGTTCACATTCATATGTAGTATATCCTACCTCTGTGTATCCTTGGTGTCTTTGAGCATCTCATTATGCGCTCAAGTGTGATCTTCAGTCGTGCTGTGATGATAACTTACTTTTAATGTTTTTTTTTCATCAGTCACATGTGTTTATTTCTTATTTTTTATTTATTCTTTTTATTTTTTATTATATATATATAAGTTTAGGGGGGATGATCATTTCCATGTGTAAGGATGTGTTATCAGTATTATTGTTATTGTTCTTATAGCTATGATCTTTATTGGTATTATAATGATGATAATTGTAAGGTTCTAATGATAATAAGGATAATTGTAATGGTTATTACTTTTTTTTCATCATTATTATTATCATTCTCAGCAGCAGTAGCATTATTAATGTTTTTTTTTTTCTCTATCTCTCTCTGATAATTATTACCATTCTCATTGGTATATCATCATGCTGATCCTTATTTTTAATGTAGTTTTGACTAGTTATTATTGACTCTGATCATGAAATACTAGTATTTAGGTACACCTTTCTTAATTTCTTGTAGTCGCAAGTAGTCTTTTCTTAAGCAACATTACTGACGTGAACAAAAGGAAGCGTACCTTCCCCAAAAATACATAAAGGAGCCAAAGGAACAGCATACACTTTAGTACAGTGTCTGAGACATGGAATATGATACGGCTTGAGGTTGAAATGATGCACACACGCACATGCACACAGAAAACAGCAGCATTACCACAGGTTTCCTTTCGATTGGTGCATGTGAATGGTCTCCAAATTATCATAAAATGTTTTCAGCAAACTCCAGGGAGCGAATAGCAAGTTGAGCTTGTCATTGGCCTTGGGGTTTGGAATTAACTTTGAGCAAGCAATTTAGGTTGCATGGGAGTTACGGCATTATTCTGTGAAGCGTTGGGGAAAAAGGGGTATTGTTGGCTTCTTTCCTTTGATGAGAATCAGACCCAGTTAGTGAATGGAGGATATACTGAATTAGATATATTAAATTATGAAGTTTGCAATAAATTTTGAAGTTATTGATGGGACAGTTACTGACAGTTTATGTACAGTTATTTACAGTTTATTTTTATATAGAGATTATAACCTCCAACGACATTATTGCCATTTTCACAATTGCTCTTGTTCTTTTCCTGTCTGACCTGGAAATATTTGAAATAAATCAGATTAAAGCAAGTATGAATTTGCAGTTTTAACTTTCGGAATCTTTGTATTCCTATAAAGACAAAGATTTGTAGAATTGTCATGGTATCTTTTCAGTTATATATGAAATTTGTACGAAATACAACTCGATGTTTGATACATTACATCTGCATAATCTTTGCACTTGATGGGAAAAGATACATGAATCAGGTGTAAAAATACATTTCTTTTTCTTAGTACAAACTTCTGCACATTAAATAAGATTAAGAGTTTGCTCAAATGATAAAGATCTTACTAATCGAAGGTGCCAACTTTTAAGTACATTTTACTTTTTTTCCGAGGATATTGATTGTGGTTTTGTAGTATTCATGTCTTTATGTTCATATTTTATTTGAAAAAAAAAGTTAAGATGATAAATTACAGTAGATTATTGTCATTATGCAAGAATGATTTTCAGTACAAGTATTTCAAAGAGCAGCCAGTCGAAGGAAAAAGGGAACTGCACTGGCTAAACATTCTTACAATCTTATGATACCAATAATCCTGTTACACTGATTACTTCTGTATACTTTGTAAAGAGCTTAAATCATGTTCAGGTACTCTCTTCAGTCGTCTTGCTTCCTGCTGTCTGAATCCTTTTGAGGCTGAGAGGCATTCCGTGTCGCAGGTAGAGTTTTGTTTTTTATAAAGGTAGTCATAGCCACAGTGTGCTCTGACAATCAGTTCTACAGCATAATAAGGGTCAGTAGACAAAGTTTCATTTACATAGTTATACCCACATACATGTATATATTTATATATGTGTGTGTGTGTGTGTATGCATGTAAAAGAATTGTGCCTCCTTCATTTAGATAATTATAGGTGTCATTTCTGCACTCTTTAGTTGTAATTATCAGTGTCAAGATAAAAGATTTGCTATTCTGTATGAATTTACAAAATACCTAGAGAATAAAAGAAAAAAAAATTGTAGTTTTGGTTCAGTGTACCTGATGTCCAGCACACTACTTAACGGGCAACAAGAGCTCTCATCATTGGCATGCATGTGTGCGTATATGTGGAGTTCCATGATGCACAAACACGGCTTGCAGTGTTGAGTTGTGCCCATAAAGGCTTTGCTGGACAACTTTGGTCGTTTGCTTTACATTTGCTTGTTTCTGATCAACTCAGACTGAACAAAAACTGTTGGAAAGGATTTTTTTAATACAAGGCGATAAAAAGTTTTAAGACTAATGTCTGTTAATGATAGTTTGGGATTATATGTGGTTAGTTTGGAGAACAACAATATTAACTCTTATAAAATGACTGAAATATCTAACTTTATTATTGCCATTTAGAACCAGTATGGAGAATCTCATTATTGTTTAGTCATCAAAACCAGTGCATTCATTATTCTGAGAAAAGTCCCATTTTCCACATATATGAAAAATAGATCTAAATTACTTTGTGAAATGTATGTTATGCCAATACATAGCCTTATGTGTATAGAAAAATACACAGAAATGAATATTGATTTTTCACATTCATTACTCTTGTTGAATTGATGACTTGAATGTAATGATAAAGATAATGTCAGTATTCATTTGTTTCTTCAGTATTCATTTTGTATACAGTTGTGCAGATATTTCTTTTTTCCTGATTTTCAAATATGGCTGTGCATAGGGCTTATTATGTTGCTATTACAGTTTGGGACTTTGGCTGACAAGGCTTTCAATGATATGTGGCAAAGCTCTCTCTCTAGTCTCTCTCTCTCTCTCTCTCTCTCTCTCTCTCTCTCTCAGCTCTCTCTCTCTCTCTCTCTCTCTCTCTCTCTCTCTCTCTCTCTCTCTCTCTCTCTCTCTCTCTCTCTCTCTCTCTCTCTCTCTCTCTCTCTCTCTCTCTCTCTCTCTCTCTCTCTCTCTCCTCCCCCCCCTCCCTCCCCCTGTGGCTTCTCCCCCCTCTCTGTCTTGTTTTGACATTGCTCAACTTGTGTCAAAATCATATCAGACATATTTTTCAGCAATTAGGAAGATATTGTGAATTCGTCTAGCGAGTTTGGAGAAATAGATAAATGTCATAGGATTAAAATGAATTTCCAATAAATAATGGGAAAGAGCTAAAACTCAGTCACAGAATGCTTAGTGGCTTATTGTTATCATTATTTATTATTATTATTATTCATTATTATTATTTTTATAACAATATGTCATATGAACTTAATACATGCATAACTATTGCATATACAGTATTTTTTGTGTGTAAATAAAATCTTAAGGTACCAATTCCTTGATATACAAATATCAATGTTCATAAACTCTAAAAAGTATCTTTACTCTTAAGGTGCTGTATAATCTGAAAGAGTGTAATATGTTATTTGCCTAACACTTGCTGCCACCTTATGCAGTGTGTCAGGTAACATTCTCTTCTGTTTCAGTTTACACATCATTATGAAGGTACATTTGGGAGGTAGTGTACATGCATCATTTTATTCCCTTCTGTAATACTCCTTGTGTTGTGCCTATTTTGTAAATGCTTTTTATGAACAAAATGTGTCAAATAATGTTAATAATTCCAGAAAGAAATCTCAACTGTGCCAGATGTCTAATGTATATTAAGCAGTGTTATGGTAATGATTTGTATACAAACATAAGACGTAATTGTTTGTTAGACCTTCCTTACGTCCTTGATCTTCAATCACATAGGGGGGGCTTTTTATCTTTACTTTGTACACACTCAATTCTTTTTAATACATTTAATGTTAATACAGTATTGTTAATTAAGAAATCCAGCCAGGGTAATTCCACATGTGCTAGCATATTCTTTTTTTCAATGATGTACAACTTCATTTTACACAACTGAATGTAGTAGATTGTGTATATTATTACGTATATCATTATTAGAATATTTTTGTAAGATAAAGTATATAAAATGTGATTAACTGCAATTCTTCTTCTGAGATACACTTCCGGTTCTATCTCGGGTGGGTGGGAGGGCGGTGGGGAGCCATTTTTTATTATTGCTGTGATAAAAGGAATGGACAAAACCAGAACACAGATTCGAACGAGAACGTAATTTGGTCATAGAGGAGAAATGTGGCATCAGAATAGTTGTTCAAATATTCAGCAAATCCCTCAAGATTTCATGTATTTAGTTGTAATACAAGACGTTACATCTCATTCAGGAAACAGTGCTAAAACCTCAGCTCCCTTCCAAATGCTTTTCATTGTCTTCCACAAGTACATCATCTTTACATCTCTATCATTTTCTTTTTTGTTATTGTCACTTGTGAATGTTTGTCATTCACATGTAAGTAAATAAAGAGAAGAAATTCCAGTAGAGTTTTAAACATTCGTTATTTAAATGGAAGAAATGATACCTGTTTTATGTGCTTCCAGTTATATTTCTTTATATACTGAGTAAATGGTCACTACAAGTTCCTGTCATGTGTACATATTTGTACTTTATGGGGTGTATGT